CCCCACCTTCAGAGAATGGAGAGAAGTGGGGGGCACTCACTGCTACCCTAGGTTCTCCCTTGGACTTCTGGCCTTCACCCTGATGGACATGACCTGAGACCCACAGTCCCAGGGTTTGGACTAGGTTCAGACTCCCACCAACTTGTGCAGGCAGGAGGGCTGAGTTCCAGGCTCTGTCCTGCCTCGCTCCACTGTGGGCTGGCACATAATGCACCCTGAGGTTTAGATAAGCTGTCCCCTCTGCTTGGCTCTCCCTGGCATGTGTCCCTTTCCTCCCCACCTTGGCTACAGCTCCACTTACTTTTTTTCCGCTTTGGCTTTTTGGGGACTTGCTCCCAAGGCTTCCTGCAACAGAGAGAGGCAATATGGGTAAACACGGATCAAGGCTGGGCCATGCCCTGACAGCTGCTAAGGAATGACAGCAACTTGTCTGGCTCTAGGTAGAATGTGAGCTTCTGTTCACCTGCCCAACTCCAGCACCATGTCAGCAGGCGCCTGGCTTGGGCTCCCTCCTCCACTGACACCTGCCTTTGGAGGGAGGCCTGATATCATCACTCATCTCACACACAGGGAAACTGAGGCTCAGAGGGGTGAGGCCATCTGTCCTGGGTCCCACAGTCAGGAAATGGGAAGGGGAAACAGAAAGTTGGTGTGTCAGTCAGAGTTCCAAGAGAACTCTCAGGGTTCCTGCCTTGGGGAGCACATGCCCTATATAGTAGGCTCTCTGTGTGTGTGGGTTCTGCATTCTTGGATTCAACCAAGGATGGAAAATATTTGGAAAAACATTGCATCTATATTGAACATGTACAGACTTTATTCTCTAATACAGTTTAACTATATATTTGGTATTTATATTATATTAGGTTTTCTAAGTCATCTAGAGATGATTTATAGTCTATGGGAAGATGTGCATAAGTCCTATGCAAATACTACACCATTTTATTTAAGGGACTTGAACATTTAAGGATTTTGGTACCTACTAGGGGTCCTGGAAACAATCCCTGTGGATACCACGTAAAGACACTCTCATCCTCTCCCCTTGAGGTGGGCAGGTCTGTGGGTATGATAGGATGCCTCTCATAGGTAGGTAACTTGGAATTAAAAGAGGAAATATGGTTAATCAGGGGAAGCCTTCAAAGAGTCTAAGCCCTGCTGCAGTCAACAATGGAAAGATGGGGACAGGAGGGGGCCCATGGAGGTACCATATGGCAAGGATCCAAGAGTGGCTTCTAAGACTGAGTGATAACAGCTGACAGCCAGCAAGACAGCAAAGACCTCAGTCCTATTATCACAAAGAAACAAATTCTTCCAGTAACACGAAGCAGTCTGGAGGGAGACCTTTCCCTAGAGTACTTCCAGGTGAGGTCACAGCTGGTGGATACCTTGATTTCAGTGAGACCCTGAACAGAGGAGCCAGTGCCCAGCTCCTGATCCTCAGAAAGTCCAGATGATAGATTTGTGCGATTTTAACAGCTAAATTTGAGGCACTTGTTTTGCAGCAATAGGACTCAGAGCTGCTCAGGACCCATGCTGCCCCTGGAGTCCTGGTGGAAGAGTGTCAGACCCAGCTGGACGACTGCTTCAGACCTTTCTAGCCTGCTCTGCAAGGGCCCCAGGCTGCCCTCCAGTCTGCTCCTGCAGACAGCTTGGGTTCACCTGCCTGCTGACTGTCACACTTAGGTTGAAGCCCAATGACTGTGCTCTAAAGCCTTGGGGACCCAAGGTAAGGCGGGGGGGCCCATAGCTTCCTGCACAAGGATAGCTGCCAGACCTTCCAGGCAGGTTCCTGACCCCATATGGGTCACCCTACTGTCACCCAGCACCTGGTTTATAAATTGAAGGCCAGTACCTTGCAGCCAGTCTATCTGAGTCTCTGGGGGCCCTCATCTCCCTTCCTCCCACTCCACCTGCCTCCTTGTTCTTTTTTTTTTTTAGATAGCCTTTTTAATATTTATTTTTTAGGTGTAGATGGACACAATACCTTTATTTTTATGTGGTGCTAAGGATTGCAGCATA